CTGGAGTGATTCAAAAGCAGCACTGTTAAAATATTGTCTTCCTTTACTGGATAAAATACATATAATGCAACAGAATACATTAATCATACTTTTTTCTTTTTTTTAAGTAGGGGTCTTCTATGTATCAGGTGTTCCAGAAGTAAAAACAATTAAATAAAAATTGGAAGTTCTCATAGAATTTTTCTGGAATGAAATGTAGATGGCCTCTAGTTTTGTTCCTGTTTTAAACATTTAAAATTATGCTTATCCGAAAATTAAAAAGAAAAATATTTTTGTGGCATTGGGCTATTGAATTGTGATCTAGAAATCTGGGTAGAAGTCCCACACTTCTACATTCTTTCTTTTTTGTCCTCCATTAGGTCATTTCTGCTCTAGGTTTCTTCTCTCCACCTGTAAAATCAAGTTTAGAACAATCTCCATCTCTGGTCTGAGAAATGTTGCAGCCAGAGGACGCTCGCGCATGCACAGTCACATACCCAAGTCCACTTTCAAGCCATCTTTGGACAGCATCAGAATAATCCACACACTGACACTGAGGGTGCTAATAATTTGAGAAGAAACAAATCTAGAGCTATGATGTGAATGTAACTGGTGCTTCTGCACATACAAATGACTTAAAATCCTGAAATCCATTTTCACATGTTCACAGTGTACTGTTACTTGAACAAGGGTCTTTCTTATGGTGGTCCTTGTGCCACCACTGTGCAAATAGGGGTAAAGTTGCAAGTCTTGTTGGTAGCTGTGAAGATCTGTAATCTTCAAGCTAAAAGTGCTGTTGGGTTTATATATCGTCAGGGTGTCTCCAAGAGCAATGAGAGAATGTGGGTTGGTAGTAGGAACTTACCCGTATACAGTAAAAGGGTAAAGGTATGTTTTAGGCTCTGGACCTTGCCCGCTGGTTAATACATAATAGTGATGAAGATTGTCATTTGAGTTTTTCCCAGTACTCAAGTACAATAATATCCTTAAGTATCAAAAGGCCATTGAGTCTTAGGGGTAAAGGTCACTGAGTTTTCTCTGAAGAGTTATTGGATGGAGGGGATGGAGGAGTCTCATTTTCCCCCTGACTGTGTGCTTCATTCCATGATGTTACTTGCTTAAAAACACATCTCCTTCACATCTGAGCAAAGTAGAGTGAGGTGGGAGTATGTGGTTTGCTGAAGCTCCAGAGTCTGGTGGTGTATAATTTTTTGCATCGCACTCAGTGCACTTTGGTCTGTCCAAAGGGTCTTAGTCCCCCATGTGTTCTCCTTGTGTGGCAGTGTCTGCCAGGACAATAGATGAAGGGGAGCAGATTAGCTCAGTGCATGTGAGGAGAGCAGAACATCTCTGTTGTGATGCTTTCTGCAGATCTGAGAGTAGAATTTTGCCTTAAGCTTTTTAAATAAAAGTAAAACTTCAAACAGGTCCCGTCATCTACGGAGTACAGCAGCTGGAAGGAGGGAGAACAGGGCTTCCTTTTTGAAGCTCAGGTGACAACTGGTCAAACTTCAAACACAAACACTATTTTTACTCCAGTTTGGTTGAATAATACTTTGCAGATGAATTAGCTGTTGCAAGTTCCTGTCACTGTTGACAAATTTAGCCATCCACACAGGCTTCCTGTTAAAGTCTGGATAGATGGAGAAGAGCTGAGTGGTGTTACCTGTGGATATCAGGTGGCCCGGATGTGTAGAATAGCAAACAAAAATCTGCATCTTCCGCCAGTTTCCAGAATAAGCTGACGATGCTAATGCTGCACCTTTAAGAACCATACTCTAATTACACTAAGATATTTCAGGGCATTTAATAGATTTATTTATCTTTATTACTAACCTTCCTGGGTGGCTAAAGAACCAAGCTGTGCAGCATAGCAGAGGTGTTTGTTGATGTCTGATAAAATCCCAGTGAACAGTAAAATATTGTATTTCTGCTCCGCGTGTGTGCTGGTACAATACGTAATGTCCTTAGTATATTCATAAATATTAATCAAGTCAACTATTCTAAAATGGTTGTAGCCCTTTTCATGCAGACATTGTTTGAGTCTGTGGAATGCAATGATTTTCTGAATTAAAAAGAAGTACGAAGTGTAGGTTCTTAAAACAACTATTTAAAACTTACACTGAAAATTGTCAAATTGTCAATTCCTTTGTAACGTCCTGTTCACCTGAGACAGAAGCTGAATTGCATGTATTCTTTCTGCTGCTATTTGAACTATCACAGTTTCTGAGGAGAGAAATCAAAACTGTTATCAATTTGTTTATTATACCAAAAAATAACACAGCCATTATCTTGACCTGTGTGGATTTTCTTTAGGTTCTGTTGCTATTGGAAAACTGAGGGTGGGTATTGTCTCCTTAGTAAGTAGGGGAAAAAAAAAAAAAAAGGATAAGTACATTCGTGCATCAAACATCCTGAAAATAAAGGTGGTAGTTGTCTGATATTCTAGAAAAAAGGGCTGGTAAGGGGATGCGTGAGGTCTTTGGCTAAAAGAACAATCCATATTCTGAAAGAACTCTAGGTTGTGAATCTCAAAGCTGAAGGAGGTGATGTCACCCTGATGAAAATCTGTGTATGGATAGATGAGAAAGACAACCTTGTAGAGAGAGGGTGCAGAAGGAATTAGCAAAATATGTTGAGGATGGATGTGAAGACTTGGACAGTGGTTGAATGGGCTAGGGAGGGAAGAGCAACTCCAGGTGGGCTTGAATTCACAAGAAACTGTTAGGGGAATTCTGTAGCGCATGAGAGCAGGCTATGGGAGGGCAGTGATTTTGATGTCCCTGTGTGACTGGGGGGTTATGGATAGTCAGCAATGAAACATTTATCAACGCTTGGTGTGCAGAAATCCCTAAGCACCTCTCTCTAAAGAGTGTCTCTGGTCTCTTCCAGCTGCGTAAAGCTGAGCAGCACAAAATCACTGCTAAATTTATGTTGGCCAACACATAAGCAGCCAAAAGCAGTTAAGTCTGCTTTGGACTGTAGCTGTGCCTTGTCTCTAGCGGAAGTTTAAGGCTCGAGATGGGGACCACAGGATACAATTTGGAAAATCCACTTGGATGCTCTTAACCTCTTCCAGGCTTAAAATCTGCAGTGCTGTGGGTGACTGAGCACCGTGGTGGCCCCTCGAGTCTCAGTCCAAAATGTTGCTGACAATCCTGAATGAAAGGGGCCAGGTTAGTGGTATTTTCTTGAATTTTTAAGGAGTGGTGATTGATAAACATGAAATTGTGGAAGTAAGACTCTGTCAGTGGAAGTGATTTCCTCACTGTACAAAAACTTTTTAGGCTTAAAAAAATAAATTCCGAGGCAGAAGGGAAATCAGAATAAACTGAGAAACTGAAATGAATTCTTGCTCAGGTAAGTCCCTGACTTTATTTTGAACATGATTTAATTTTTTTTTTAATAATTTTGTCATTTGGGCTGGTGAAGAAACTATCT